TTTTAAATTGACATTTGATTTATTTTTCTGATATGCACTGCAATGTTAAATCTCGCCGGGGCCTCCGAATGTTGTGTTGCTAATGTTTTTTAGCAACTGTTTTTCAAACTACAGCCAAGTACAAGTCAATTTTGGCTTTACAAAATATTACGTTATAATTATGTGCACTTATCGAATTTAAATTAATTGTTAGATTATTTGGCTGTGGCTCAGAAAAAGCTCTTCGCTTCGCCTTTATCAACAACGACCTCTTCTTATGTTTACATGAATGTCGCTTATTCAAATGCGATGCGACTGCAAAATTCACCATGCTCCCCCCGTTGAAAGACGGAGTTTAAACATAATCCTGGTCACGGCTCTTAGGATGATCCCAGACATAGTCCCCAAAACAACTACACGTGTTACTCTATCCTTTTCAGGAATCAGGTTAAATTACCTAACCAGCGGCTACCGCATGGGATTTTCAACCTTGACGAGCACCATGTGATTGACCCACAACGCATGTGTTTGTTTACGCCATTTAGCTCGCGCCTACGAGCCCAAAACACCTCTTTATGCCTTGAAGCGGTTATATTTTAATTTTGTTAAGTCTGGCTCGATGATGGCTGCAAGAGGACGAAAAAGTAGATAAGCAGGAGTTGGGCCATCTATATCTGCTGTGTTTCAGCCCGTCGGAACAAATCGCCACTCCACACTGGCAGAAGTTCTTCTATGGCGGCCACACGATTCGCCACGAAAACATTGAACCACGGGCGATTCACACCAGCAATAGAATTGGCGATTCCTGTGCGCTTGACTTCATGAATCAGATAAGCCATCAGTTCTGCTTCCCATAGTTCCAGCTTTGGGACAGTCATTGTTTTTAGATGCGCAACTCGAGACTTGGAGCAAAGGATACGACTCGTGGCTATAGGAGTAGATTCAGGGTCCATAGGCCTCCACACGAGCATCCCAAAATCCATGGATATCAACATCAGCTTCTTCGAAGAGCATCATTCTGAGCAACGATACATGCGGAATGTGGCGAAATCTGCCGCATAGCTGCATCCAGGTCGCATCACGTGCAATATGCAAGCTTTCTTACAAAGCTGTTGAACTACGATTCTTGCTTTAGTTATGACTGGTCCCAACCGTCCAAGAGGATCATCAAAACGGGCAAAAAATAGACGGAACTTACCGCCTGCAGGGCTTAACAGCATAATCTATAACAGCAAATGAAAGTAACAACTGGTCCATCGCTGGATTCCACATAAGACCACGGACCTTGGGACGTCGTTTCCATCATCAAATTTCAAGTACTGTTCCCTATCTTCATAAGCTATGCCATAGTGACCATTTTCGAAGCTAAAAGTTTTTAAAAGACAATATCCCGGTCGCCTGCCGAATTTTCTTTCTGGTTTCAGCAACTAAGTCGGCTCCGGAAATGAAATCGTCAACGTAAAACTCCTGCTCATAAACGCTGAATTTCCCGCACGGAATAATATTATGTTGATTAGGTCCCATATGTCGCTAAACCATTGAACATAACTCCCAACTTGGTTATACTACTGTCATCATTTAAGACTCAACGATGTGGAAGGAAGTATATACAACAGCCACTCATATCTGGACTAGCTCGCAACTGTGATTCAGATCCAGAAATTCTTTGTTGAATGCCTGGTACTGCTCCTTCAGATGGGAATGCCGACCCAATTTTCGTTCAAGACTTAGAAATCGAAGATAAGCATGGCCTTTTGACTCTCTGCACTCTGCTCTATTGGCAGTTACACTGAATACTCGCCGGCTGGTAAGCGGGAGAAGTTATTGGTAAAGTGCTGTTCTCATTCCCACTCTTTCATGCTGGCCCTTACCACAGGCTCTTCCAAGCTCTCAACATCGCAAGCGAAATTCCAACTGACCAGCATCGCTATCAGAAGTGAAAATAGCAGCCAAATATAATAGCATTTTCAGAAACATTTATAAATTTAACCATTTTTGATTTTCAGGTTTTTTTGAACAATTTTATTTTGCATAGAAATTATCGACTTGAGGTGGTGGGGTATTAATTTCCGTTTCCGTCAGAACTTTTTTTTTTTTTTTACTTTTATTAAAGAAGTTTCTTCATACATCACGCATGTGATGGTTGGTGTTGGATGATTTGAATATGCCGAACATCTCTTGGTCATTATTCACTGCTGAAAATTATAGAGTGCACAGCACGATTTTATAGACTACGTGCTTGATCTTTCGTTATTTAACATCAATTCAATTTCTAAACATTTTAATAGAATATCTTATCTTATCTCTAATGCGTCTAGGTCCCCTCCTTTATCTCTTCCTGAAGATGTCTATCATCCTACTGTAGAGATTGCAATGATCGCCGTTCTTTTCGCAAAGGAAATTATTTACTACTTAATCAGCTTATTTATGCAACCGATTGGTTTTTCTTATATGACTCGGTTGATATAAATACTGCTATTAATTTTTTTTATAACACCCCAAAATTAGATATCTTACATATGTGTATTCCCAAGTCAATTCCTTCGACTACTTCTTTAAAGCCACCCAGATTGTCAAATCTTAAAAATTTGAAATCTAAATATTTTAAAAAGCTTAAGTTTCCATAGCGGAGTCGAACTTTTTTCTCCTCAATTCTCAATGCTCAATGCTTGAAGCATAAATCTTCAAGGTTGCCATCTGCTTTTTTTCTCGGGATGGGTAAAGCTAGCAATGACTCTGATTCTGCTAACCTCTTTGCTATATTTTTCCAATCAACTTACCCTTCAGTCTGTCCTAATAATGATTCTTACTCTTATACTATTACTTCTTCTAGTTCTACACTTATTAATTCACACTCCTCTCTTCTCATCCTTTCAGTTATAAATTCTTTGAAATCTTCTTACTTTCCTGGTCCTGAAAATAAGTTGTCAGTCTATCCGTTGAATATTTTGTCTTTCCATCTCTTTGTAGAGAATCTTATATCATTCCTCTCCACAAAAAAGGTGGAAAGTCTGATTTACTAAATTATAGGGGCATCGCAAAGCTTTCCGCAATTCCTAAATTATCTGAAAAATTAGAAATCAATTGTTTCCCCTGTTCAATCAACATGAATTCGTAAAGAATCGGTCAACTACAAACAATCTGCTTGAGTTTACTTCCTTGGTAAATTATGCTTTCCTTTCGAAAATGCAAACTGATGTCATTTACACTGGCTTCAGTAAGTCGTTAGACTCTGTGCATTATGATATCTTACTTTCTTAAACTTGACCGAATAGGTTTCCTTCCGATTCTTTTGCTTTAATTCTTATTTAAAAGGTAGGACCCAAAAAGTAATGCCGAGGCTGACTACATCTAAACAGGTTCACGTTACTTCTGGTGTTCCTCAAGGTAGTCATCTTGGACCTTTACTCTTAACTCTTTATATAAATGATCTTCCCTCTGTTATATCACATGCCCGTGTACTCATACGGACGATGTCAAACTTATTCTATCATACACGAATCCCCTACATCATTCTCGTCTACTAGACGATTTGAACGCTATGCAATTTTGGTGTTCGACCAATCAATTGCATCTTAATTGTTCAAAGTGTATGTTTATGACATTTAATCGTACTACACCTTGTCTTGTTTGTTATACAATCGACAATATCCCTTTTGCAACTTATACTAACAGTTAAGGATCTAGGCGTTCTTTTTTAATTCTAAACTCTGTCTCAATCTTCACGTAGATACCATCGTTAATAAGGCAAAAGTTATACTTGGATTCATTAAACGATGGACTAAAGAGTTTAACAGTTCTTTTATAACGAGACTTCTGTACATCTGATATGTCTCAGTCAATAATGTCATTGTCGAGAAAAAAGGCATAAAACGTCAAACGCGTTGACTGGGTCCTTAAGCCAACATGAAAGTGGCTCAAGAAAAAGCAAAATTTGCCAAGACAAGCGTCGAATACCTCGGTTTCATTGTGACAAGGGCATTAATAGGTTCTGAAAAAAAAAAATGAAAGCCATTCCGCAGTAAGTCGAGTCTTTCCGTAAAAGTCTTTGAGGCAAAAGCAAAACTATTCTCAGTCATCTTAATATGGGAAAATGGGCAGTAAAATAAATAAAGGTTCAAAAAATACTCTTTCAGCTGAGCGAGACTTAACGCAACTCGTTCTAAAAGGTCAGGAACATTTTGGCATCGGTAGACGTTATTCCATGTATGTATACGGCATAGTATACATGGTTTTAGAACGAGTTCCGGGGTACATACCCCAATTACCCCTTTCAACCTGACTACTGATTCCCGGCATTTTGCCAGTCCGTGTTAAATGAACCAATAACATAACGGGCATAAGTAATTTGCCATTGGCAAAACTTTTTCTTTTCCTCTACGGGGTAAGATATATCAGCATATATACTCTTGCAGATTAAGAAACGAACTAACGCTAATATTAAGATCTAAAGTTCGCATCGATAAGATACGTGTAAGCACATACGAGCCAGAACAGAAAACCAATTTGCCGAAAGTTTTCGCGTCAAAATGTCAATGTGCTTGACAAGAATGAGTCAAAGTCCGACTTATGCCCTGACGTACATAAAAATATTTTGCATTTGACATATCGGCAAGATCGATATTGTTCGTAGTTCATTGCATTCGGTAGTATCGGTCACGCCGATATCTTTTGTCATGGGGTCAGAGTAACGGCGGTGAAGCTGGGCACACAGCGCCGCACATTTTATTGCGACCCCCGGCGCCAAAAGGGGCGATTGATATTGGCCGCCCAATTCGCTCATAAACACATTATGTATACATGTGACGAAATTCGGCACCTATTGTGTTGCTGGCCAAATGTGCAGCAGGGCGTTCGACATTATCAGCGGTCAACGGGGTCGTGAGGTGCTTAAAGCAAGCTTTAAGCTTAAATTCTTCTTTATGCATTTCGGCTCCAAATATTTGAAAAAAAAATGTATCTTACCGGCCAGCAGACGCGTACAAGATAAATTTATATATAAAACAAGAAATTTTCTTTTGCGAATAACGAAGCTTTATTTTAAACAATGTTCCGAGACATACTAATTCAAAACATTAAGCTTACATGCGACCCGTGACGAACACACAAAAACAATAAGATACTTAATAATAGAAACGACCCACGGTTCCGGCAACAAAGAGACCAGTGCTCGGTTCAGATAGGCCCGCAGTAAAAACCAGTTCCGGCTTTGCCTCAGCGGCTCATCTCTGCCAAATCAATGGAACCCGTCGGCCATACTCCGCGCACTGATCATCGGCGCAACCTTCTCCACGGGGATCTAAGATCCAAGTGAATCTGTTCCATTTCGCCCTTCCTCGCCCAAGTAAACGGCAGAGTCAGACGCAGACTCCTTATTGTGCTCCCTGAAAGAGAGCAAATTTTTCCGAAATGTAGCTTTTTTTTTTTGTAAATTAAATACATAATATACTTACGCCTAGTTTCACTTAAGTAAATTTCCGAAAGTGCGAACAGGGAAGGAAAGGTCTCAAAGATTATTGTGTCTGCCAAATAAATAAAAAACTTGCTCCCCATTGGTGCATAAATTATCGGTGTTGATATCTCTCCCATTGTTTTTATTTTTGCTTTTCTTGACTGAAAATAACCTTGGCAGTATTTTCGTCGTTTATTTCATTTAAAGTTGAAAAATCAAAAAAAATTATTCTGTAAGAAAAATGAAATTTTAGAAACTAAGGTCAATAACATGATAATGTGCTACAATTAAACGCACCTGGTGAAGAAATGTCCACGTGCATAAGAACGTAAATAGATGCAGGCAGATAATCTGCAAAGATACCTGCAAAAGAATGAAAGTCCATATTAATTATCAATAATTATAAGAATACACTCAAACACTTATACCTGAAGTTAACGAAAGGTCCGCATGCAAGAGATCGTAAATAACTGTGCCGACACCCAGAGAAACCGATGAGCCAACCGGCGCGGCCCATCGAGAAACAAGCAGTTTCGTAACAAAGATAATGGATTTTGTTCGATGAAAAGGCTTGCCACACTATCAATAGTACATACAGTTTGTCAAATAATTGTTTGCAAAATGAAAACATCATACCAATTAATTTTTATACCCTGAGCCCATTAAAAATGGGTTAAGGGTATATTGTATTTGTGCAAAATCCAAATGTATGTAACAGGCAGAAGGAAGCATCTCCGACCCCACAAAGTATATATATTCTTGATCCGTCTGTCTGTCCGTCCGTCCATCCGTTTGTCCATCCGTCCGTCCATCCGTCCGTCCGTCCGTCCATCCGTCCGTCCGTCCGTCCATCCGTCCGTCCGTCCGTCCATCCGTCCGTCCGTATGTATGAACGCAAGGATCTCAGAACCTATATGAGGAGTTAGAGACCTGAAATTCGTTTCTAAGCAATCGATAAAAATCGATATCGATATCCCATTTTATGGGCAATTTTGGTAAATAATAAAATAAATAGCTGCTATAATAGAATATATATATGCATTTGATGTTGGAAAAAGAGGGTTCAGGGTAACCCCTAGTCGGGAGCTCGCGACCAGAACCTCTTACTTGTTAAACGTATATATAACCGACCAAAACTTTTTTTTTAAACTTATTATACCCTTGCAGAAGGTATTATAATTTTGTCGTGAAATGTGTAACGCATAGACGGAGACATCTCCGACCCCATAATAATATATATTCTTAATCAGCATCAACAGCCGAGTCGATATAGCTATGTCCGTCTGTCCGTCTATCTGTTTCTATGCGAACTCGTCCCTCAGTTTTAAAGCTATCTTAATGAAACTTTGCAGGACTCCCTCTTTCTGTTGCACGCAGCACATATGTGAAAACCAGCTGGATCGGACCACTATATCATATAGCTGCCATAGGAACGATCGGTCGAAAATTAAGTTTTTGTATGAAAAACATTTTGTTTTTCAAGATATCTTGACCAAACTCGGCATTTATTAGGTTTACTAAGCTTCTCGTATATATGCAACATCCTATTAATATCGGACCACTATATTATATAGCGCCATAGGAATGATCGGTCGAAAATTTAGTTTTTGTATGAAAAAACATATTGTTTTTTCAAGATATCTTGACCAAACTCGGCATTTATAAGTTTTACTATGCTCCTCATATATATGCAAAATCCTATTAAGATCGGACCACTATATCATATAGCTGCCATAGGAACGATCGGTCGAAAATTAAGAAAATTATGAAAACACATTTTGTTTATCAAGATATCTTGACCGAACTCGGCATTTACTATTTTCCCGCTACTTCTTAGATAGGGGCAAAGCACTATGAGCATTATGAAAAGGTTGGGTCTGCATGGGTATTAGATCTTTGGCGTGCCGAAGATAGCCCTTCTTTCTCGTTTTTCGGATATAATTGATAATTTAAAAAATATAAAACACAAAGAATCCAAAAAAAATTAAAAACAAAAAAGGCAAAAGAAGGAAAACTAGAATTCTGCAAATATTACGCTATTAATTAATTCTTTGCAAAACGCAAACACAATTCGATACAGACTCGAAGCTAACTAACGATTCTTTCAATCTTCCAATTCTAAGAACTTTGAATAAGTGAGTCGTTGCCATGCATTGTAGGAATGCATTTTTAACAGTGCATATCTTGCCATTTTAGTGCTTCTTGCAATGCATGGATAACGAATTAATAAAAATCCACCTACCACAGGGAGAAATCTGCTAAGGAATTAGCAGAACTACTCATTATATTATTTACAGCGCAGAAAAGATAAGAGGCTGGAATTATGGCACTCCAGAGGCAGACCACCGAATCTCACTAGACACGATCATTCAAAACTTTAAAATAATTCAGCGATAATCTTTAAATGAGCCTGAGACAATTGACATCGGATTCAAAAAATGAATGGAAGTAGACTGTGAACCACAAGGCAGTTCCAATAGTTTTAAAAATGCATGGGTACTCCTCGCAAGTAGCTAGAAAGAAATCTTTACTTTCTGTTGTGAATATTCCCAAGAAAATGAATAATTGACCAAAGCACTGGAAGCTGCGTATATTGCTGATGGTATTTTATTGACCCTGGTCAACACTACACAAGTTGAAGCAATGGTAAAAAATTGGTTTACTGTATCGGAAGCCGGTCAATTAAATAATATGAAACAAACAAATTCTAAATTTGTCAACAGCTGCACCTATGCAACTGGCCGATCAGATACAGTTCTATATTATAGCAATCGACATCCCAAAAACTATCATGGAGGCATCCATAGAAACTATAGTATTGAAAACAGAATTTTTTAGACAGTTACAGAAGCAGATGTAGTAATGACTGTCACGGTGGAAACAACTAGCGGGGTAGGCAAAGCTACAATAATAGAAACAACTTGAAAAACCAAGAAACATCCATAAAATCAGAAAACTAATCAAAACAAACACTCATATACACAGTCTCAGTAAAAGCATATTTAAAAACGTTACAAATGATAATGCAGCCATCAAAATCACTATTTTAAACGATACAGGAGCAGATATTGCTATTTTAAAAACAAATTCTGGTATTTATAACGAGATAGGGCAAAATTGTAGCAGACATATAACAGGAATTAATAAAGATACAATAAATTCATTTGGATTTGGCTAGGTCGACATTAAATCAGATAATTAAATTTTACCTAATAATGTAATATAGCTTTCCCAATAAACATATTCAAGTACATATCCATATACCAATCACGCATACGTCCGGAATCAATTCCACTAACCGCTCAGCACGTTTAGAACTAATTAGACAAATTAAGATAAAATCAACAGAACAACACGTTTTCATATCCAAACAATAAATAAATAAGAGGCTCTAGTTGGAAGTTCCCGAATGTGGTATTCCCTTAGCAGTAGATCTTATTGTGTTATAGAATGTTTGTATATCCTTAAAAAGACAATTGCATTTAAATTGAGGCTCAAATTGGTGGGCAGTATAAATAGGTTAACTTAATTGACTTAAAGCTATGTGATAGTAGCGGGGAGGTGGTGATAGCTAAATAAAAAATGAAAGATACTTGATATTTCTTTTCTACAAGCTACATGTCAAGTTTGGTGACTCTATAATGGTATATTTATTGGAGAGTGTATTACAAATTCACCAAACACTTATATCCGAGCATTTAACAATACATGAAATAGTATACTTCGGAAATATTTTTTATGATCACCTCAGTAAATTTAATATTCCAAACCCTTCTAATGTCCAAAGCCAAAATCAAGTACCCAAAAATAAAGAAATATGTTTCCCCAAAACGTTGGGATTAAAAATCGAGGAGCCTGTATACATAAAGAATTATAGATTAAAAAAAAAACTTTTAACAGGTTCCACTGAAAAAAGTTGGAGTAGTAGTTGTAGATTATCGTCAGATAAATGCGAAATTATTGACTTACCAGTTCCCACTTCCAAGGATAGAAAATATTTTTAATTAACAAGGACTAACAATGTCTGCATTTCACCAGATAAAAAATCCAAAAAAATTCTCGATATAATAAGACATTTTCAACGCATCGCTATTATCGTTTCACGCGATTACCACATGAATTAAAAATAGATTCAAACTTTAACGAATGATAAAAATAGTATTTTCAGGTCTTGAACCTTCTCAAGCTTTTATATATTTTGACGACTTGATACTTAGTTATAGCTTCGTTCTCCTGAAGCGAACAAGTGTTTTCTTTGTGCTCTCCGCTTTGTTTTGATTTTAATAAAATACTGGTCTTTTAATATTTATATTTAAAATATTTCAAGATTCTGTTTTTCTCGGTATATTTTGTGCATTATTGCTTGTGCATTTGCGCTATTAGCTGTGTGGGATACCTTTTATGGATACCTACACTCGCCGCTCTTGGTGTGTAAGTTTTCATGAGCCAGCAAGCAATAAATATATTACTTTCTCGAACTCTCGCGCTCTTTCACCTTTTTTCAACTTGTGATTCGACCTTGTTTTACTTTCAGCCGTTTGTTAGTGTTGCATACGGTATTAATTCAAATAAATCTCTAACATAGGGCCATAATAATACATGATAAAAATGCTGTTTTAAAAAAACTTGCAAAAAAAATTTACGGCTAGTCAATCCTTGTCGGATGTTCGGATTACACTGGCTTAGTGGAGGATGCCATTGCTCAAGGAAATGTTTTGAACTTTAGTGCGAATCGTGTAATGCGGGTGCTTATGCGTCCGATCAGGAATGTCTTAAGGGGTCAAGTTGTTGGATTTCGGAAACTAAACGATCAGCTCACCGCCCTGCATACCCATTTTAAGATCCTTAAACTGTGGGATGAGTGTCTAGGACCTAAAAAGTCCACTCCTGGTAATTTGCCGTTGTCTAATACCTTTCAGCCTGCCATTCAGCACCCTACTCTGCTGTGGACACTGGTTCTGTCCCGAAATGTGTGACAGCGATACGACAAAAACCAGTTGAATTACCCGTTAGAAGTTCAGTCGCTAACAAGGAATCAGAATTAGCTGAACGTATGCGTTGTTTCCGAAATGCAGATTACATTAAGCTGAATGATCTTATTCTGCAAGTCGACTGGTCCCAACTGTACAATTGTGCAGACACTATTGTTGCCATTAAACTATTTTATGATAGCTAGTACTTTGTATTCGAAAATGTTTTTTTTTTTTTTATTTTCACATACATACATACACTCTAGACCTAAAATTCTCTCCCCTTGAAAAATATTCGTTAATTTGTAAAAAATCCATACATTTTGGTCCCTTCGTTAATTTGCAGTATTTTTAATTTCTTAGTATCTTGATATATGTATATATATTGATCTTATAAATTAAAATTTTTTTTCGTAACCTCTTATAATTCGTAATTCAAACGAAATTTTATGTCGGATTTTTTGACGAGGATGATGATGACGCCGAAGCAAATGAAATTTTAACCAACATACAGCCACATTATTAATTATAACTCTATTATTTAGGATATGATGT